TATGGGACGGCAGAATTGTATTGACATATAAGTCGCACCGCGGGACCCAATGCCCCTTGCTTTGCACGAGCCCGCACACGGTTATAGATTACAGAGAGAGAGAGCCGTGGGACCCGTTCGCGCAGCGAGAGGATATTCCCGCTCCATGTGTCAAGCACACTGCACAAGACGTGGTCCCTCGTCCCCACCGAAAGACAGCCGGCGGGTACGCGTGTCGTGTCCACCACGCGGCATCGCTCGGGCTGCCCGTGGAGACCACCATCGCCAAGACCACACGTCACCGGTCCCGGTGGGGTCCACGTCTCACACGATTCCCGGACTCCGGGCCCGGCCCGGCTGGCATCACGTGACGGACAGGTGGCGGCACGTGGACCCACCCTTCGCACTGGCTTCCATCCCAACCAACGAACCAACACACGGGACCACCCGCAACCCCAGCCAACCCCGCTCACCGAGAACGCCCGCCACAAGAGCCGCCCCCTCCCCCCACTCCACCCCCCATACCTCGCACGTGCCGAGCTCGTGCTGTGACAGCGGAATGGCGAAGAGTAGTGGTATCATGGAACGGAGGCCATCGTGCTTTGCGTCGCCACTGAATTGGAAGCTGAACGGAGAGCAACAGCAACGATAAATAGAAGGAAAGAAGAAAGAAAAAGGAAGAGTAGGAGAGGGAGAAATCCCTCGGCTGATCCTAAATTCAATTCTAGTCTTCGGCGCTGCTGTCATCTTCGTCGTCTTCGTCTTCGTCGTCGTCGTCCACCTCTCGCGCTTGGCCGCGCTGAAACGTGCCAGGATCCGACATCAGTTGCAGCTCATGCTTCCCTCCCGCTGCCGGGGCTTTCGGTTGAGCGCCCGCTGCGGTCGCCACGTTGACGCCGGATACACCGCTGGAGAACACCGTGTCGGTGGAGGCCGGCCGGACCGCGGCGAGGTGGATGATCTGCGGCGCCTGGGGGAACGTCCATACCTGCGACTGGCTCGACGGGCCTGCCGCTGATGATGGCGGTGGCAGCACCCACAGTGGCCCCGGCGGTATTACGCTGGCCCCTGCTGCGCTGCCCCCGAGCGTCCACATCGGCACCAACCCCTGCGCACCTGACCCCATCGGCGCCAAGCCCGACGACATCGTGATGGCACCGCCGACCGGGAGCATCGGATCCTGGACGGGGTAGTACCCGGCGACGACTGTGCCGCCACCCGTCCGCAACGGCTGGAGTTTCTTCCTCCGCTTTTTGCCCGCGCCCTCGTCGTCCACTGCCGTGTCATCCGCGGCCGCCGGGGTGGATGTGGAGGTCACTGGAGCGGAGGTCGGGGCCTCCGTGGGAATTTTTAGGGTTCCGCCGACACTGGTGGCGATAGCAGGGATGGTCCCGGTGCCAGTTGCGGCGATGATAGCCGGCTCCGCGTGCTCGAGGAGCCACTGTATGGTCTCCCCGTCGGACTTGTGCCCTAGCTCGCGCGTTAGCTGGAAGATGCGGGCGGCGCACGCCGCCGGCATCCGGATCCTCCGTCCGCGGCCCTCCACCTTCGTGTGCCGGTCCTTGGTCCGGCTAGCTGGCCTCCGGATTATCTGGAACGCCCCCATCCCCAACATCTCGAGAGGCTCCGGCTTGGGGACGATGAAGCGGTGGACCGGTAAGACCCCCGACGGCGGGACCGCCGCCCCTCCTCCTAACACCCCACCGACGCCGCCACCGCCACCGCCTTCGGCTGTCTTCCTCCGTCCATCCTCTTCGTCGCGCTTCTGGGATTCCATATCTACTGCACCTTACCGTCTTCGAAAAAGCTCACATCTTTTGCCTTTCCCTCTCTTCTCCCCAAAATAACAGATCGCACGCACACTTGCACACACACCAACCCTAGAAGCCCACCCAACCCCCCCTTCTTTTATCAGCCATCCCGCGGCGAAATAACCGTGACTCGGCTCCGAGCTGTTACGACCGTCGGATCCCTGAGGGTCCACCAGATCAAGATTTAAGTGTACCCTAGAGCCTTGATAATTTGGGGGAATGCGGTGAACGCGTATCCGTTTGATCGTTGGGGGAGGCGGAGGGGGCGTGCCGTGTGCGGATGAGGATTCCGATACTGTTCCTCGCAGCAGTTTTCGTCGACCTGTTCGTTTCGTACTCAGATGACCTACCTGGCTTTTGAGTGGCGAAAGCTGTGACCACAGTTTAAGGCTCCGGCCTCCAATCAATAGCCAGGTAGGCTGCGGCTATTAGCCTATCACTTCCTTGAAACTTCTCTTCCTAAACTACGCTCGTATTTATACTCTCTTGAAGCACACTAACAGGACGCACCATCAGGTGGGACCCGGATCCCTTAACTTGTTTGTCCTCTCCTGTATCACGTCACACTTTACTGTGGGTGGGGTTCACCACTACGCGAAGCCGGGACCCATTTGCCGTCGCAGCGAAAACGAAGTCGGGTGGGGAGGGCTAGAAAAGGTGGGCCACTAGCGTGGGGCGGCTTTCGGCACCGGGGGGGGGGGGGTTAGTGGCTCCCACGCATACGGTGGCCTTCAAACCATTGGGGCCCGGGACTCAGGCGAGCCGTAGGTGCGGCGCCGTGGAAGCCGAGCCTTGGCGCTTGGTCCCCCGTGCCAACTCTCGTCTATGCAAGTGGCGGGGGCAGCGTGGACCCTACGACACTGACGAACAAATGGTGGGGTGCGGGTTTTTTTTACAGTGATCGTGGGCCCGGGGGTGACACAATAGTGGGGCACCCGGTCCCACAATGGGAACAAGTGGCTGGGTGGTTCTAATTTAAATGGTGGGTCCAACTCGGGCCGACGCTAGAGCCCGAGTGAGACGGAAAGGTGAAGTAAAACACTCGGATCAGACGGTCATGGATGACGAGTTATGACAGCTGTAGACAACCGGGCGCGCGGCCATCAAGTCCTTGGAAAGGGTGATAGGTGGACGGCAACAAACCGCGGAGCAGCTCTTCCGTCTTCTTGTATCAAACTTCGCGAATCACGAAGTCGTTCTTTTTCTTATGTGCACTATTATGCTCTTTAAAAACTCTCACCAACCTGTCTTATCATTGGTGGTAAAGTCTTGGGCTCACGTGGGTCCCGATTCATTGTTGCCACCACGGGAATGGAAAGGTATCGAGAAGACAACGCCAGGTTTATTTGAGGCCGGTCTATCGTCATGGTTCCGGTGACCAATGGGTTCGGATCGTTTGATCGTACCAGTTTAGCTTGTGAGGAGTATTTAATTGTTGTTAGGTGTGAAGGAGACGAAGATGCATATTTTTTTCTAGTCTCTGAAGGGACTTTCATGTGTAGCCTCCACCAGCTCCGTCTTCTGAATCATGTTTCTCTAATTTGACGTGCAATTTATACGACTCGGACGAAGGAAAACGCATAGTTCAATTTGCTACCCGCACATGTTCCTTTTTACAAGACAAAAGTCATCACAGATTCCGTAATAACACACAACTCAAAAAGATAACGTTGTAAAAATTTATATTTGATTCTATTTTGCAATTAATGGCACAGTATTAAGTTGCTGCATGTTGGTAGGTGATGCCAATAGGTACCAAATCAAGTGTGATGGTGGTAAATGATAGAATGATCTATGCCTCTACCATGGAAGAATGAGCATGATGGAAGAATAGCTTTAACCATCCATCTCGGAGATATACGGATGCACACATATGAATCTAATTGGATTTCAATTAATTTGTAGTCAAGCTTTATCTACTCTACAATTGATACAGTAGGAGGAAAAAAGATTTACAGATTAAGACAGTGATCGATTAATATAGAGTACTGTAAGTAAGAAAGGTGGCAACGATAGAGGCCAGACAAATGAGAAGAGAAGGGAATAGGGTGGCATTGAGGAGTTGGTCGTCACCCAAATAGCCTGCTATCGTTATCGTGCCATCCGCAAAAACCCGGGCCAAAGTTCCAGCTTCCGTTGACAGCAAGCCACCATTATACGTGCCACGGGCGAGCCGCGATGACATCACGCGAGATAGAAGTGATAAGTTAACCCCTGCATTGTTGAAACATATATGTTAATATTAGAACGAAGAAATAAATATTTTGTAGTAATAATGGTTGATGCATTGAAATCAATTACATGAACTGCAACTTCAAAGCAGATAAACAAAAAAAAAGGGGAAGCAGGGGAGCAAGAAATTGTAGTTACTGACCAACCAAACAAGGGAAACTGTGGTCCTTAATATCATAGAAGCCACTTAGTAATTTGTATTCATTTTTAAGTCAGACCTTTCAAGGTCGTCTATATTGGTTTGGGATGAATTCTTAGTTTTTTTTTTTAATTTTGTAAATTCAATTCAAAAAAACTGCTGGTTGTCAAATCCAAAATATCATATTTACTACTGGATTTTTGCTAACCTCGGAACAAAGAGAGATACAAAGGAGGCAGTTTGTAGGTTCAATCCCATAAATATATTTTGCAATTGACCATCCATGTAAATTACCTTCGAGTACTTCAGCAGATACAAATACGATGAGCGCTGAGCTGACATATTGTGGCACAGAGTATAAATTGGTGAAGTGGAAGCTGAGCATTATACCAACCAATACCATGAGTTCAGATGCCAAGAGAATTTGCCTGCAAAATACAATAAATTTGAAAAAATAAATAAATATTCCAATTAAAAAAAGAATAAAATTAGTTGCCATTAAGCTATCAGGTAAATATATCTAATTAAGCACCTTCTTCAGATACTTATCAAAACAGATCTGCACATAGCCCATCAATCTTAAATGACATATGTCTGCTAGTTTCATATGTTTATTGACAATATATTATGTAAACTTAAGGGCACAAAAGAGGAGAAATATTATCTTGAGTTAAAAAATAATTTTTCTTGTGAAAACTTAAAAAACATGCATAAGAAAGGGAAAAAAAAACATCCATTTGTGATGCATAGCTAATGGTTGACTAGGGGAAGCATCACAACTTACCTCATTATATATCTTTAGTGGATACAGATATGCAAGGGAGCTTAGGAAATAAAACCTGGTTTCTCATTATATATCTCGTTAATACAAGAGGAAACTATATCTGATGTTACACATAAGTAGATAATGACAGCTGATATTTGGAAATAAAACCTGGTTTCTCATTCTAAGGAAGCATAAGTTGGTATGTAAAAGATGAGGCATAAATTGTTCGAATCAACTCCTGGTATAGATAGCACCGAGTTATATATGACATTAACCTCCACAGAACGCATAGTGGACTTCAGAGTTAATGTAATAACTAATAAACACCAAAGTTGCAGAGAATGAATATTTATGTGAAAAACATCAATATGTTTTACTTGAATCACAGTAATAAAATATACTAACTACTCTGATTCTCAAACAATCAAGTAATGGAAAAGCTAGAATATCATGCTTCTTCAGATACCTGTCCTCAAACATATTGGAAATGTAGCTTCCGACAACAGCATTTACTGGAAGAACTGTCAGTCCAAGGACTGCTAGAAAGATTGCTACTTTGCTTGTAGACCAACTAAAGTATATTGCAGTGATGACACTTGATTCTGAAAGTAATATCTCCATCGCATATTTAAGCATGAAATAGATTAACAACTGGACCTACAAGGTAGCAAGTCAGGTGAAGGTTATGCATCAACATTCTGCTTTGTCAAGATTGATATTGCAAGATATATTGAAACTAACAAGAATGTCAAGCATCATCAGCAAAATATAAATCAATAACGCAACATAGAGATTGAGAAAAAAATTAAAAGAAAATCTTATGGATCCTTAACGTAATCTGCATTGAAAAGTAAGCACCCCAGTATGCTTACAGGACCAAGTTAAATTAAGAGCTTCCATGAGTGCCAAAGGAGCCTTCAGCAACTATTTCTTCTACTGAAGCATGTTAATCACAGAATTGTTTATGATGGCTCCATCATGAGTCTACTTAGTATTATAATGTAGAGACGGTTTGAATGGAAAATTCACAAGACTTCCATTACAGTTATATTTATTTCTTTATTACTTTTTTACTTTAATGAGCCTCAGCTGAATCACGATCCACAAATACAAATAACTTTTCTTAATTAAATAATAGTTTATCTGTACTATCTTATGCAGAATTGCATATCTGGTGCTGTTTTATGAGGCATTTTAAGTAATTTCATCGCTTCTGGCTTATAGCTTAAGCATCAGATATATACCTGAAATGGACGTAATACCAAGAAGTCTTGTAAATTTTGAACTATAGAAAGGACAATTTTAGTAAAATGTGACACCATGGTAAGCTTACTTATTTACTACATAGGTAAGGTTTTCAAGTCAAAAAAGCAACCTATTTATTTGCAAGGGTAAGAGACGTATAACATCGGTCATCCCAAGTTGGATATTGGAGAGAGTTCCATTTGTTAAGCCACCCGTCTAGTATCTAAATGCATAGTCAATTGACAACATATCATTCAATTGATAGAACAATGGCTAAGAAATCAGAGTTTCATTGTTGCTAATGCTTGATAACTTAATCCAATTAGAGATTTCAAAATAATTAAAAAGAAACTAAATGCAACCTAATGAACCATAAAAAAGTCGAACCTTCACTGATGGTGTAAGCAATCTATAGGCTGAAGCAATTGATGTTACAGGCTTGTGGGAATCTTCAGATGATTCTTCGCTATCTTCAAAATCTTGGTCTTCATCTTCATCTAGCTTATCTTTTGAGCTCAAGAGAAGAGGCTGAACAAGGCCATCTTCCAGGTTCTCAGTCTCCACATGTTCTGTTTTCGCAACAAAATGTACCAAATTTTGTATATCATATCGTAATTCTTCTTACTCACATTGTTGGTCTGATTTGCACATCTTTAACTATAACTGTTAGCTGACTAACATTCAAAATAAAAAACATGTCTTCATCAATTATTACCAGAATGCAGAAAGAAAATTCCAGGTGGTGCACATTAACAGAAAAAAAAAAAAGATGATCTAGGATTAACTAACAAAACTTGGACAGTTCCATATGAATTGAGCATAATTGTTTCGAGATATATAATTCTCACTAACCTCAATAATAGTCAATTATCAAGTCTATTTGACTCTCAACCAAGTTCTTCATATATTTATATCATCAACTAAGATGTAGACTTATCTTAAAAACGCAAAATTCAACAGATAAATATGGAAGTGTTTGAAGCGCAGTCAATAGAAATAACATGTGAGGACACTAATCTTCGGATTTCAAGCTCCAGTTGGTTTCTTGGTACATCAGAATTTTAACATAAACCTTCAAAAGTATATCAGCTTCTACATCAATTTTTTTTTCCAATATCATAGCTGATTATTTAGTATTTTAAACCACACTTTTGGAAAGGATTTCTTATCTCCTAAGGATCATCATTGCAGAAGAAAACTCAATCCACATGTCATCTGCTAACCTTTGAAATAGACCATGTTTAGTTACATTGTATCTCTTTATTTTATTGGAGAATTTTCTGCTCATTTCAGCATATATTAATTTCTTAAACTGGCATTTAAGGTTTCTGTTTCCAAGTCATAGCACTGATTTTCTCCAATCCATCCAGTCTTCTAGAGCTCTCATCCTTTGCCTCTACTGTAGTTTGGGATAAGTTCTCTTCCTCAGCTTGAATCAATCCACTAACATTATATGGCAGCCTAGTGACTAGTTGACACTCGATGAGACGCAGCAATGAAATCTTCTTAAGAACAACATCTCCAGTTTTTGTAGAATATGTGCCATAGGAAGTCAAACGGTTTCTTGAACAAATACCAAAGAGAAATCCTAGGGCTAACTCTCTGTTACTGGATTACAACATATTGCATAGAAAAAGTAGGGTAACAAACGAAGATCACTTACCAGCATGTGCACTTGCTGGAATATGGTTCTCTTCAGCTTCATGAACTGGCTCCCGGAATGAAATCCACAAAAAAAGAAGATAAATAAGCCAAGCAAGAGCCATAAGCCACCCTGGTAATGTGTTTTGGTTGAATGTGAGTGTGTAGATCTTGAAATTTGTTTGAAGCAACCCAGCCAGAGCAGGACCACAAGCCATTCCAAGAGCACTGGCACTTACAAAACCTGCAGAAGCTTGCATGCGTATTTTAAGAGGTACACAATCGCTTATGTAACGACGATTTACAGCTCTTGCTGAACCTAACCTGCAAGAATCATAAACTGGCATATAATACAGCACTCGATGTACAGAGAAAAAACTCAAACAAGATCATGGATGCAAAGCATTACAACACTGAGAATTTAAGATCACATGAGACAACAATTAAGATGATTCAAGACAAAACAATGGTAATCTTTTGCAGCAGCCAATAAAAGATTAAGCATATCAACCATAGTCACAAACAACCTTACTAGGATGCAAGATGGCTACAGTTGATTGACAAACAAGAGATTGTGGAAACTTTAATACCAAAAGTTCATACGGGAAGACACACATGCAGCAGTGCACTGTCCATAACTACATTACCAGTCAGGGTCTGCCATGAGTGTCAAAACAAAGCCATGAAAATACCTTCAATAAACAAGATCTACAATGTTCTTTGCAGATAGAAATAACATAAAATCTGCTCTAGCATCTAAAGAAGTAATCATATAAAAAATACAATAAACGTTGAACAGAGATCAGTCATAAAGAATTCCACTTCCAAATGAGAAAAGCAAGAGTCTCTTACCCGCATAAAAGACGACCAATAAGAAGAATCACTATTGATTTAAAGTCATAAGCCAATGCATACAGTATATTTCCCAGGAAAAGCATAATGCTGCTAAACACTAGAGGCCTGAAGTATGACTTATTTGACCATGCACTGAAGTAGACTGAGGAGAACACTTGTGCAACAGCCATTGAGCCAATAATCACACCACATACAGTTGCTGCAGCTCCTAGGCTCAGTGCATAGTCGTCAGCGGTTGGGACAATGATATATGTGTTGACCATGTAGAGAAACGTATTTGTTAGATTTAAAATTAGAGATATAAAATGGTATTTGTGGTCATCGGCATGATCCTCTGCTGTAGTAGGTATGTCTTCTTGAAGAATAAGTGCATGCTGTCCTAAGAATTGAAGAAAATTTGTTGAATGAGTTAGTTTGTCCACTGATGCATTTATTTGATCTATAACAGGGTCCTGCAGTAAATACATACAAGGAGTTGTTAGTGCTGAGGATAAGTATTAAGGCCTAAAGTAACAATTTAATTGAAGTTAACAAATAACCTTTAAAACTCTAGATGGCTGATCATAAATGGACGAGTAGCTCCCTTGGTGATCTTGAAGATCTGCAAGGTGACGAGACAGAGCACCCACAACAGCACCTATACCCTGTTTAGTCATCAATATGAGGAGGCCCATCAGAGTTCAGACTAGGTAATCTAATTGGAATGATGTGCTGAGAATCACTCCATTGAGCTCAGGGGGTATTATGAGCAATAGCTGGGAAAAAACAAACTGCTAGGTTTGTTTAGGTCAAACAAACATAGGGAAAAATAAGCTCGAGAGGAATAGTACCACATGCTTAAAGACCTGCTGCAGCTGAGAATAGGGGTGACTCGCTCGACTAGAAACATAGTAGTCTGTGAATCTAGAATGAAATCGTTTATCGAACTTCTTCAATATTTTACGAAGACCAGTAGCATTCATGTCCACAAACCTAAGAAGTTTAAGAAGATCATATCCGGTTGTTCTATAAGCTTCTTGAAGTTCAAATATTTGGGATATATCTGGCTTCTCTAAAAGAACTTTGTGCTGCTCTCCTAGTTCCTGAATCCTGCTTGCAAGAAGCCCTTGTTGTTCCAAAACAAAAAGGACAATCTTCTCAATCTGAAGAAACACAAAGGAAAAACTGAAAGATATCCCCAAGAGTATGCTATCTCATGAGAAACATTTTCCATAATCTTTATTTACAACATTATGTGCCAAAACTAGGCAAATTCCAGCATCCAAAATCTTAAAAGACAATTATCTAGCAACAGCAAAAATTGCATATAATGCAACAGGAAAAGCGAAAAGCAATTTCACGTTTCAGTCCATCTTCTGCATTGAAAACTTCAATAGCTATCACAACAAGAAGTGCTACAGTTTCATCAAGCAAGACACATTTTACTGAAAAATCACATCATCTGCTCTTATGTATACTAAGGTGACTAATCATGGAAATGAACTAACTAATGACCTATATAACGAAAGATAAAAAAATGGGTCGATCTTGACTATTTGTTAGCCGCCTGTTCTCACATACTTCAAAAGTTCAAAACATTGTATGATTGCAGAACACTTCACTAAAAGAGTGTACTCCATTTGTGCACTCAACAAAATAAACAAACATATCCAAAAATGCGATATAGGGCTGTGCCACAATTCACAGTTCCATATGGTTGACAAGGAATAATATTTCAAATGAACTAGATGGTATCTTGGCATATAAATTAAGAAAGCTAGTTGCCCAAGCACACCCAATAAATTCTATACTTTTCAGGTCAAACGTAAAAGGAAACCGGTTAATAAAAGGATCAGAAAAATATGTGAATGTCAAAAACATTAACTTTGTAAATATGTAAAATAATTACATAAAAAGAAAGGATTTATTTCTGAATGAGGATGCATATAATGGCTGATCATAAATATTTGAATAAGTCAAATGAAGTGAAATCATGTAGCAAGATCCAAGCATTATTTACCTAAGCACTTCCCCAAACCAACCACATAGATCTAAATAAATTTCTTAAGCATTTCTGAACTAAAATCAGCATATGCATTTAGAATATGCTACACTAACTCACACCGAGTAAATTCCTCTATGCTTTCATTGTTGTGCACGAGTATGCAAGAACACTTGCTAAAGGACTGCAAAAAAGCTAAAAAAAATACCATTTATCTTTTGTTCAACCTCCATCGGCCTATGAAGCTCGTAAACAATAACAAAGTAAAGCTGCTGAAAGCGCACAATATATAATGACTCCCGGTGAAGGCAAATAGATTGGTGATACCTGGTCATCTAGCATCTTGGAGAACTCTTTGATAACTTGGCGACGATCTTCCCTGCCTGCTTGAGTTTGCTGAACAAATTGCTTCAGTCTTTTCTTCATTAACTTGTAGTTAATATAGTACCTGGAAACAGTAATACCAGAAGGAACAAATGAATAAGAAACTAGAACAAGCATAAAATGGCAAAATAACTCTAGTATATATATATATATATATATATATATAACTTGTATTAAATTAGTCAATGGCACAAAACACTTCTTGGAATGAGATATCTCAGAATCACGTATGTGATTTCATGGATGCATTGAGGATAACTTTCAGATCTTCAACGAAAGTTAAGCGGAAAGTTTCTAATGAATTGGAAATTTTATTGTCTTCTAAGTGAAATTACACAAATTTATGGTTGAGACTAAGGTTTACTTGTTATTGGATCAAGAGAGATAAGTAATGCACAATCATCAGAACAAGGACAGAAATATTGGGTTACTTAATATTGAGAAGAATATACTTTAAACAAGTACATTACCGTTTCCACTCCTGAATTTGATCTGCCATCAACTTTTTCCCAAAATTAACCATCCTGGAATTCTCTATGTTAATAACTGTGTCAAAGGAGCATCACACAACTTTCAGAGTCAGATAATATGATTCGAGTAAGGTTCCAAGAATAACAATCTGTGAAGGTATAAATGTTGTTACATTTTCATAAGCTACACAGAATCAAAAAGGCTAACTCATTTGGCTTTCATCTAAATTTTTGCAGAAATCAAAAGATATGAACCACAGCAATAAATTAGTGACATATGCAATACAAGAATATTTGCTTGACTAAACAGTAAGATTGCTCAAACAAGAAAACAAAATGCATGGCAGAGAACATAGAAGTTCAATATCAACAATGTCCCTATCAATTTAGGTGCTTATTCTTTCATTCTGACAGCAAAATACATAACAAGTAATGATGATTTCTTAAAATCAATTGGTAGGATATATATAATATAACAAAAATTCTTGTAGACGATCTTGTAGCTTCGATCTTATAGACCATTTTCTAAAAACCATCAAGTGTCAAGGTTCCCCCAGCTAACAATAACAGTCCACATTTGAAGTATTAGAAACAGAAAGATTCATCTTGTAAGGCATTTTTAGCTTCATCATCATAACTATATCATCTTATATTACCATAGTTCATTTTCAAGTGGGATAATATATTATTAGAAGACATCCAGTAACTATTATTAGAAGCTATGATGGAAAAGCCAAGACAGAACAAACATGTAAAAGGGCGATAAGTCATGGAGGTTTGTGTGTGAGAGAGAGAACCAAAAAACAGAACCGACATAATAGACAAAGAGAAGGCAATAGCTGTGGGATCAAGAGATTTACGTGAAAGGAAGAGGAAAACCTTGTGATTTGTATATCTGACGGTGTCAGAAAGCACCAGATAGAATGATCAGGAGGTACTTACTGATCACCGACAACATACAATCAGTAGAAATTCTTCCCTTTTTCTGTTCATTTCTCGAGTGGACGCCACGTGCAGATAGGCAGGCCAAGAAGTTGTCCTTGTGCATTCAATGAAGCATTCAGATATGGAATGGGATAAACAGGACACTCAAATTTAACTCTTATTTAGCTGTACCGCTAACAGAGTGACCAACTATATTAGGAATTATTACGACACGATTATGGAATCACTATCCTTCACCAAGAACTTCAAATTTCAAATCGCAATCGTTACTTTAGAACTCGATTTTGGTAACATATCTGAACCTAACTGGATCTATAGCAAGAGATTCTAGCATTAGAGTCAAACTCAGGTAAATCCTCACTTAGATTACACAAGAAACCAACATGATCGGAAAACAATGGCCATGGAGTTTGAGATCAGAGGTGAAGAAACAAGTCCAAGAGAAGGATAGTTAGTTAGCCACACTCCAGAAGTACACGAGAACCAAGGATTGCATATTTTGCATCCCCGAAAGCAGAGCCGTCGCATAGTTTACATAACAGTGGCCGGGACCAATCCCAACAACAAATACTCTATTGGAACCAATTCAATATCAGTTTCTACTTGACGGCAAACAAAATCAACAGTCAACTCAAGAACATTCGAGCATTACCAGGGACAAGATGAAAGATTCAGATCTTCCGCTCCGACGCTTCTTTGGCTCTTATTAGATGACCATCAACGAATCGCGAGAAAGATGCCGACCGCCGGAATTCAACCGAACATAAACCTAATTTTGAGAGGGAAGAAAGGGAGTAAGAAGAAACTGACACCACTCGAGCACAATGGGAGAGCGAAGAAGAGGGAAATAGCGAGAGAACGAAGTCGTACAAACAAGCCCATCTCACTAACCAACTGCACGACACGGAGAAACGGAAGGGGAACGGTCGAAGCACGAGGCGATGTGAGCCCGTTGTCTCACTCGTTATTTATAGGCTCGTATGCTGGTAGCGAGAGGGCGGGCGGGGGGGGAAGAGAGGGAGAACCACTCGAACCGTATCGGACGCGACGCGAATCTTGGCGTATTGTATGTATGTGGAAGGGAAGGCAAGTCCCAACTCCGCACATCCGCATAAGATACCTCATGCGGTAAGTAACATCGCCTCATCGCATGTGACGTGTAATGAGACTCCTAAATATCGCGGACTCCTACCACTTCTATTTCGGGATTTCTTGTAAATTGGGTACGCGTCGTCAGAGAAGTGGCAGTGACGTATACGGGAACTGTTCGGCCGAGTTCTCCGAGCTGGTACACCAAATAGGCTTCGTTCATTACGGCGTTTGGGAGCGGGTTGGGCCGTCAATCAAACGGCCACGATCCATGGAAGGACCGACGGTCCTGATGTTCTTTGCCGGCGACCAATAGATGGGCACCTGTCTGCGTGACCATGTCCAAAACCTGACCCAAGGCTCGGCACCAGGTGTGGGGCCCGGACGTTGACCGATTTGACTCGAAACATCCGCAAACGAGGATCGCCGCGTGGGATCAGGTAGCTTGGGCCACGTCATGGCATCCGATTGTCACGATCACAGCATTAAATAACACGGTTACAAACCGCAAGGGAGCTTAGTCTCGCCGTTCATTTGATGTGTCCAATCTCGGACGGTACAATACGATTCGGTGTCATACATAACAGATTGTCATGAATATACCACGAGGAAGGGAAATATTATATTATAAATAATGTTAAAATACTGATAGTATTTTATATAGCTTTTTTTTTTTTTTTTGCATGAGTGTTGTGAGATAGTAGAAAAAATTGTTAAGGTCCATTTTAACTAGTGATTTTATTTATAGATCACTTAAGTCTTTATAATTTATTTTATATTTAAAATAATTTTTATATTTTTAAAAATATAACATATAAGTTTTTCCTGTCAAGGGTAAACAGATGTTAAAATAGATATACTAACTCATAATAAATTATTAATATAATAATATATATAATTTAAATTTTAAAAAAGATTCATTTTAGCTTTTGTGATTTTGGTTATAGACTATTTAAGTCCTTATAATTTTGCTTATGTCTAAAATAGATTTTATATTTTTAAAAACATAGTATATAAGTTTCTCCTATCAAGTCTTAGTTAACAGACATTAAAGTCTGCTTACGTGACATGCTGACTCATAATAAATTATTAATATAATAATATATATAATTTAAATTAAAAAACTAAGACCACCATCAATAGTGAGAGGAGGCATCGTCGTTGAAGCGACCACCAATGGTAGCACCTGATCGTTGCTATCTAGCTGAATATCGTGCGTACATAGCCTCTCCTACGTTGACGATAAGCTCATGAACTTTTGATCTTACCTCATGTGGATATGTCGACTAGTCCAACGCTAGACATACAATGGTCTTATGGTCCTCTTCCTCCTCCTGGATATCTTAATCCCCACTGTCTTTTACTTTGTCCTCTCTTGTACCCCCACCCTTCACGCCTATAACGTGGTGGTCCAGTTCTCCCTCAGCTTTGCTTTCAACCTATTCTACCTTTACCTCTCCACCTTTGTCCGTCGTTACGATCTCCGTCACTTTCTCTTTCTCGACAAGATAGATATTTTTTAAAAAACTTAAATTATACATATCATTATATTAATAATTTATTGTGAATCAACATATCATGTAAGCAGACTTTAATGTCTGTCAACTCAGATTTGATAAGACAAAGTCATAAAGATTTAAGTAGTACATAAACAAAATCATAGGGGTTAAAATGGATCTTTTTTTAAAACTTAAATTATGTGTATCATTATATTAATAATTTATTATGAGTAAGCATTGTCACACAAGAGATTTTAACGCCTATTAATATAGAACGTGAGAGATTTATATGTTATATTTTTAAAAATATATGAATTATTTTATATGCGAGTAAAGACTTAAGTGGTTTATAATCAAAATAACATCAGGTTAAAATGAATGTTAAGCTAAAAAAATTAAAATCAATACTTGAAGTTATCGAGGACAGCATTATGGTGCTCTACCTAATCATACTCACCCAGCAAACTAAACCTCAATAGCGAGAGAGACCAATTTCAAGGGATTGACTAAGAAGAATATGCTTAGTATATTCTCAACTCTCTCTACAAAAAGGTTACTGAACAGCAAAACGAATGGCACCAAAACAGTTGCAGATGTCAATCTACCAGTGAAAAAAGAATATGCTAAGCATCTTTTCCTATAGATAAATTGTGGCTACTATGAGCAGGAAAAGTCTCTCACGGGAGACGAGTTACAGACTATGACAGCACATGAAATCATCAACAGTGAGATGGGTATCGATTTCATGGGATTCAGTGGAAGAATATTCCAAGAATCATCCAAAGGTTGCAAAAAGTTGAGACTAGTGGTCATGAGATAATATATATATATATATATATCTTGGTTGGTTTTGTAGCAGCACTTCGTTTGATCACACGATGATCTCGTGCCTCCTCCTCTTTTTATGGATACGTCGATGTACTCAACCGAAGGACCGAAGTCTTCGTTCTGCGGCGTGCTCATTTAGCCTATCAAGAAGGGTGAAGTCCCGAACCATCTTATTAGCCTTTTCCATTCATTCTGCTGCAACTGTACCAAACTTGGCGTTCGCGAAACCATACAAGGAAACCATTAAATACATTCCCCAATACCTGCCATGACAAAGAGAGAGAGAGAGAGAGGCACAAGCATCAAGTTTGGCCCGTCGATCGCAGCTCATGCACTCGATAGATCACACGATGAAGAGGTAGGCGACGGTGCCCGATGGATCTTCTGCATTCGTTTAACGAGGCTCTCGAAGAGAACGACAACTTAGGCGCTGCCGAGGGTGCTTGCATGCCCGGAAAGAAAAGCCCGAGAGGTGTAGGCAGTGAAGTGCCATTTTGGAGGCGAAATGTTAAATGGTCCTCACAGAAAACTACATACGTTGACGACCAAATGCATGACTATTGCAGTGAAGAAAAATGCTGCTCCAATCCACAACTTTGCAGCTGATGTTGGATCAGTGGAATCCTGTGTATGAAAAGCCCTTCCCACTCTGGGCCACATCACACACTGAAAGCTAGCAACCACTGCCATCCATAAAGTCTATGGTCCTCTACCTGTGCGGCCTTGAATGAAGTGGGATTCACGACCGACGGCGACGGAGCAACCACTGCCACATTTGCGATCCCCAGCACCTACTGCGTCGGAATGTGGCTTCGACCGAAGGCAAGATAAGGACACCTGAAAGGGAAGGCAACACAAGGACGAACATGCGGGAGAAGAGGAGGAAAAAAGATCTCCCATTTGCATTTGATCGCGGCCACGCGAATCGAAGCGCTTTAGGTTCCTACTCGATGTGAAGTGCTGGCGATGATCGAGATAAAATTGGCACAAGTATATGCCCAGAGGCCGGAGCGATCGCCGCCACTGAGATGAACTGCTGCTGCTATCTGGCTGGGGGGATATCCTCTTTCGTCATATAAAGTGAAACCAGACAGTATGCCAGTTCGATTCGATTATTAGATGGAAAGCATCATCTCGTGAGCAAGGATGATGAAAGAGAAAACAATGGACCTCTCCCTTATCAGACACACTAATCATTATATTCTTGTCTTATTAACCCAACAGAAACTAAGATTGGGTTCGTACATCACATTCAGAATTAAGAGGCCCGACCCAAATGCGGAATGGTTTTAGAGGCCGAATCCAACCCACTGCGGTCAAATACTCGGTCTGGGTTCGTAGATTTCTCCCCTACCAGCCATAACGTATTCAAGACGCAACAGAGAAAGCCTGGAAGAGAATAAGAGGCGGGAGGCGGGAGAAGTGCAAGAAACTCGACAACGGTGCGCGGCACAAAGAAGCTCCAAACCCTTCCCATGCGACCCCTCTCCTCTCCCGTCCTCCACTATCTCGTCTCCGCCGATCCCTCTTTTCCCTTCTTCCGATCCCTGCCGAGTACGTACGTCTACGATCTCTTCTTCTTCTTCTTGATCTTTGTTTGCCGATGCATTGTCAAAATCAAATTGAAAATTTTTAAAAATCATATGGAACTCTTCTAAAATAATTTTTATCATTCTTAATGTTATCGATAGTGTGTTGTTCATTAAAGTTTATTTATTTATATGAATATATTTTTATTTATTATATTTGGGCCCTACGAAATTTTTATAAGATTACACATATTGATTTACTTATTTATTTAATTTAAATGAAAATATATATTTATTTTTGAATAAATCATAAAAAAATATTAGAAGGATAAATTTATTATAAAATATTTCATAAATTTATAAAATACAATTTTATCAAACAAATATTTCAATATGATAGTAATAGACTATAATAAAGTCTAAATATTATTAGTAATTATTTTTAATTTTTTTTCTGATCATTTATCTCAATTATTTGTTTCATATAATTTTTAGTAATTAAGTGTATGATCCTTTCAACTGATCCGATCAAGATCTAACACAGCGTAAATTTGTATATGTTTAATTAAAATCAATTAGTCCAAAAATCATAGATCATTTATAAGAATATAATAAAAGAAGTACTACTATTATATAATATTAATACTCTAAGTTTTTCAGTAAATATTAAACTATTGATATCACTTTAGGTATACAATCTTAAACTATAAAGATATCCAAAATAATATCATCTTACTCCATCACATAAATATTCAAAGTAAATTCTTTTTTGAAATTATCTAAATCTTCTAATTATAAATATTATTTTAAATTATTTTTTAATATAATTTTATAAGTTATTAGTCTATACCGCTTTGGTGGCTATAAGACCAATATAATAATATAAAATATAATTTAAAATATTTTTAAATAATAAATATTTATTATAATTTATATTTCATAAGTCTATTATCCTAAGTCACTTTCGCAGCTACTAGTAGATAAGACTTAAGTATATAAGCTATAAATAATATTCATAAATTTTTTTTAACCTAAATTATGTCAAAATATCTTAATAATAATAATCACAATTATTATTGAATATTAATCAGCATAAAAAATTTATATGATAATTATAATCATAATGAACATAAATCATATCTCTACGTGAAAAATAAATATTATTTCATAATTTCAAATATATATGTGAATAACTAAATAAATATATAAAATAATAATTAAATTTTTATTTATCATATATAAAATTTTATCAATATGTCATATGAAAAATTATTAAAAAATTATAATTTATAATTTTTTTAATTTCACATGGAACCTTTATACCAATCAATTATATTTAATTGGACAAGCTAAGAATTAGTTTACCCAAATTTTGGCTCATAGATTTAGGTTAACCATTCATTCAATTAGGCCCATCAAAACTAAAACTGATCAAAATAAAAAAATTGATCAAAATTTGACTTTCCTCAAATTTGATCAAAACTAAATCCAGTCAAATAGTCAAAATGCAATAATGATCAAGTCTAATCAAAATAAAAAATTAAAATAATTTTAATTAATTAATTTTATAATTGAGAACATAAGTAAAAAAAATTAATTTTTAAATAATAAAAATATAATTTTGTTAGAATATGTAGAAAAAATATTCAAAGGATAAAATTATCAAAAGGACATAAGTTAAAATTAAAATATTTTATAAGGGTAAAACTATAATTAAAAAAAAATCATAACCTTTCGCCTTGGTAGTCTCCCTCGCAGGCACAATTGTTTCCACCATGCCTACATATATAGTTCGATAATGCAACGACCGTCCATCACCTACGCATGTATGTCGTCCATCGCTTGTAATGGGGCAGCTTTCCTCACGTAGCTGATTAAAGACCACACTGATCATCGTGCCCTACCACCTGGTTTCTCACTAGTGGAACGTCTCTGTGATGCACTGTTAACCGAGTGCCACCGACAAATCATCCCACCGTGCGACAATGCACATGCGTCAACTAGCAACCCTCACGATCGCCACGACACGTGGATGTGCTCGCATGTTCTGTTATGCAGCCATTGGGAACCATATCCTTCGATGTCCAATTGATGCCAACCGTAGCTAGCAAGTGCTGCTATAATGGTATTACTGCAGCAATCACTGGTAGTAGCGCTACTGCAGTTGCTACATGTAGCGATGCTACTACCATGGCATTGCTTAGTCGTTGCACCTCATGGTGCTTCCATTAGGTATGTAATCACTGCTTATGACTAGGCTGGCAGCTACCAAAGGTCGCCACCCTTAATAATACTATTGCTAATAATAATAGTGATACATCAATCAAGCATGAGGAAACTCATATCGCTCGCAAGTAGGAGATAGGGCTAACTAGATAAAAAAGTAGATTAGCAATACAGACGAATTGTTCATGCATCGTAAATAAAAACTAACATTTTCGTAAGCAAAAATACTAACAAATAGATCTAAAGTATTTGATTTATAAACATAACTCTGATACAAATTGTAAGTATAAAAACCATCCTTATGCTACTGTTATACGAAAATTTTAATATCAAAAATTGAAACCAAAATACATCAAATTTATGATGTATATATACCTTTTGATCCCATTCATAAAGCTTTTATTTGATATATGTGTATACTGTTGTCGGATCTGAAAACTATAACGATATCCATCTGTAAAGAGAACTAGACTCACGTTCTCCTTTCTTTCTATGCTTCCTATTACCGTTATGAACGATAAATTAGGAACAAAAAAAAGATGAGAAGATCTATAACAAAGGGGAAGATGAGAGATCTATAACCTCTAAATAATATCATATATCCATATATTCATATTAAGTTCATAAAAGGTCTTATCCTTCTATATATACGAGAGTTAAGGATCCAGGATAAATAATTAAAAAAAAAATTCAGTAAAAATTCATAATTTATGAGAGAGGATAATAAACGAACCTTAGCAAAATAAACGACGTTACATCACGATGACGAGGTTTGATTCCTTGTCATTAATCGGCCAAAAGAAGAATCTTAACAAGAGGGGTGGGGGGAGGAGATAGTCCGACCCACATTGGGAATCTCCGGCTGCTCCCCTGCCGGAAGAAGGCGTTCCCCGCTCTCGCGGCGGCCTGCAACCGTCAAGAGAGAGAGAGAGAGAGAGAGAGAGGAAAAGGGATCGCGCGCGGAAAAATGATTCGAGAGAACCCGGTGGGACCCATTCTGTCGGGCCAAACAGGTCTAGTCTATACTGGAAAGCGGGCGAGTTGATGGCATCTCACTCACCCGTAGTTCCTGCGTTGTGGTCCGCCGGGTATACTTGGTCAGGATCAAAGATAAGGCCACAAGTGACCACCAAGCTACTGGAGCCTCAAAATTAGCAGACATTGCTATTCGCTGCTGCAGAACTTAATGATTCTTCCTCCACACCCTTCTCTTTCCCTTGCTACTTCGATTCTTTTCTGTGCAAACCAAATGAGTTCCAAGATCGGCCCTTCTCATCTTCCACTCTTCCACAAGTTGCCAGCCAAAAACCTCAGCTTTGAACCAGCAAAGCCTCTCAGATTCAGGTCCCGAGCATGCTCGCCCATCTCATCATCGTACACCGGCCCAAGCAAGCAGGAATCCACCGGAAGAGTTGTGCCGGCCCCCGATGCATACAGCGTCAAGTTCGAAACGTTGGAAGGTTGCAAACTGGGCATTTCCAGGTATCCGGACTTCGAGTACAACGCCAAAGGAGGCGTCGGCAATGCAGTGGGAAGAAAGGACAGGACCGATGACATGCTCTGCGTCTCCTTCGATGTCGGGACGCTGTACATCCCGCCGCTCACGGGTGCAACCACGAAGTTCTTGGGGTTGCCATTGCCACCTCTCCTAAAGATCGCGATTGTTCCAGAGGTCTTCCAGGGAACCATCAGCAGAAGGAGTGGGAAGGTCGTGGTGGAAACTACTCGTCAGCTGATGGTTTCGACTTCCAGCTATTAAACTTATCACGAAGCATGACTTAGCTCAAGAGTGATGACTGTTCTCTGCAGGTTGAGTTGATGTTCAGAGCCAGGTTCTTGTTCTCCGTGGGAAGCATCTACAGAGCTCCGCCCTTGATGGTGGAGACGACGCTCACGTCGGAGGAGTCCAGAGGATCGATGCGGGCAGGCAGGGGAGAGAGAATGGATGAAGAGGGACGGTGCAAGATGGTTGGTGTAGCCGTGGTGGATCCGATCAACGACGCCCTGATGAACGCCTTCCTTGGGCTGCCGACCGAATGCATCGCAATCCTCAACGCGAAAATATCGATCGCTGCCCCTTGATGAGATGCCCCTGCAAATTACAGTGTGTTTAAAGTGATACAGAATCAATCTTGTTCATACGACTATGATCTCAAAATATACAGAAATTGGCGAATTCTAAAGCGACATTTGACAGGAAAGAGAAGAAATGTTTGTTCCTACATCAATTCTGAGACTTGGTCATTTGAATCTGGTTCTTGGTGCTAAAACGCTGCCTCTTTACTGATCTGGATGATGCAATCTAATTATTAGTTCTTCGCTTTCTCCATCAGAACATATCTGCTGCTGACTCCACAAACGGAACAAGTAGATGCATATAGTAATAATCTACTATGGTTTTAAATCATAAAATATCCCAGGCATGATGAAACCGATTTAAGTTACAAAATGGACTTTACTAAAGCTGGTCTTGTTGACTAGAAAGTCGAAACAAAATTTCACCGTAGGACAGCTTCCAAAACAAACAATTTTAGTCATGTTTTCCATGAAGAGCAACTGTCATAGACTCAGCTTCATGCTAACTACAACAGATCCAGCGAGAACTTGGTTTTCATACCAGTTACGGAAAAGAATAATATCATCAACAACCTTGGGAATTGGGTTCGCATAAATCATATCTCATGTTACAGAACATTCTACATGTGAGAGCTCAACTACCTCATACTTTTAGTCAGATGGCGTATGATCTTTGATAGCAGTTGCGAGCTTTGTAGTTTCTTCTTCGTTTTTCAACCTTAGGAGGTATGTACGAGCCACAATGTCCTTACTGTCAGCTCCGGCTCCATGTCCTCCACCCTGAGTCACACATATCATCAGTGTTGACAGATGGATTTAACTTGCAATTACCTAATCTTACAAAAGCACATCTAAGGAAAACAGGAGAATTCACAATAACAAATATATAGCCTGATCACTTATTGTCATATCAGTTATGGTATATGCATCAGTTAACAAAACACTTGCTTGGTTAGGGTAAGCTCTGTTTCTTTCACAAACGTAAGTATATGGTAGATGCAAGTGCTGCCGCTTCATATAAGTATGAAGTAAAAGAAAGCAGAGAGCGCCAGGTATAGTAGTAACTGGCATCGTAGTAAGTTACAGCACCAAAATCGAAAGTAACTTCATGATAGGTTACCGCTGTGTGAAATATCGAGGTGATGGTATTCTTTTGGATGTTCATCTTTATGCCATGATATATCAAAGCATTGACCAAGATTTTTCCCACCTGAATTAAAACAAGGACCAAATACAATTAAGCTCAGTAAGGAACATATAATTTCAAAAAAAGATGCAATGATGCTCTAAAACACATTAAAAAGAACCACAAAGGATAATTACTAATTTAACTTAAAACTGGTACATAGTTTATATGTTACACATACAGATATGAAACCATGTAAGTTACAACATTTAATCATAATTAAACGGCATTTCTGTTATCTCACATATCAATCAGCCATGCGATAATGATTCTTCTAGCATGATGAACTACACTACCAAAACATTGTCCAAAAATCAAATTTTCTTAGGTGGATTGCACTTGATTGTTTAAGTCTCAGGATAAAAGTAATTCTCTTTTAGAATATGGAGGGCACTATACCACCTATGAAGATTTTCAATAGATAAAATGAATATAACATTAATTATCCAAACTTACGATTAGAAGAAGATTTTTCAGCAATGCTGCAATGCAAATTTTTCAGCAGTCTAGTGACAGACAGGTCTAGCTAACTTCAGCTCACCACAAGAGGAGCCTTGTGGCACTGTGGGTTCAGACCTGTATCAGACAAGAGGTGAAGCAGAAGGAAGAATACTTCTGAAGTTTCTTAAGTTCACTTCCATGTTAAAAGGCTCTCGCCAATGAAGAAAATCTCCAGAACAGGAGATGGAGTTTGGCAATCAAAAACCGGGTGACCTGAACCAGCCTCCGGATAGACCATATTATAGAGCAATCCATAAAGCCTCCAAAACTTCACTTCAGCAGATAGCAATAATCCAACTCCTCGAGGGTACGTATTGGATTCTTGGACTCAAGTCATCAAAGGGAATGCCTTGGGAAAAATGATCTGGTAATATCCTTTCATCATCTATGCAGGAGAGAATGCAAGGGTTCTTCAGTAGATTTTGTAATTATTGACGAACTTAAGCTTGCCGAGTGGCGTAAACCATGACTTACAGCCCAGGAGAAATGTTTCTTAGGCGTCATCTGTCATTAGATGTCATATATGCTTTTCCGTTGATAGGCTATGGAACCTTCCGCCACCTCTTCTTATCTTTAATATGGCCAAATATTACTTCCCATTCTGGTTCCAAAGTAACAAAGGGTCAAGCTCCCAAAGTCCTAACCAAAGGACCATGGTCTACTAGAGGAGACCTAATAGCTAGTTCCACGGAGACCTAACCCGCGTTTGAACCCATAGAATATCGTAAGCAAGAATGTGCCTTTAGTCTAGCATTCTTATTAGGTCATTCTCTTACGATAGATCTTTCTCGTTTGAACAAAGTAGGTGCATTAGAGTCTGCAGAAATCGACATGTCTGTACCCTTGCAACAAGGAATTTGGATCAGTAAACCACAAAAAGGCATCTTTCAGGTGGCCTCATATGTGAAACTGATGTTGATTCATTTCACTTGCAGTTGTGATGTTGAGCAGGCCAGAAAATCCCTGAATCTCCTAACAAACAGTCTTGTGGTTCATTTTAAAATGAGATAAGAATAAAAGGTCTTGTTAAATAGTCTCCTGATAACAGTGAGGATCTAGAGAAGATAAATGGGATAAATACAGATTCCTGTAGGAACAATCTATATGGTGTGGAAAAAAGGGTACTCTGCCTGATAGTCTGGGGTACACATGTAAGGTGTGTGGTAAGCAACTTGGAACCCCTGCTTTGTAGCATTGATGCAATGGATGAAGACAAGTATCAGGGTAATTATGATGGAAATGATTTAACACTTGGCGACATAAATTCAACTAACTGGAGATCACCCAAGCACCTCTGGAGAAGGGGATTCCTGGTAAACCTCAACAAGATTAATAAAAAAAGGACTATGAAAAAAGAACAAGATTTGATCAGTTGGTTGAAAGAGTCAGCCCTTCACTCATGGATATTCAACTGTTCACAAAAGAAGAGTAGAGTGACACTGATAGCAAGTTTCTCAGACTCAAATGAAACAAACACTTTCAAGCTAGATACGCACCAAACAAGGCCCAGCTTTCTTCAGGAGAAGCAGTGAAGGCTAATCTCAGGGCCATGTCTACGTTTCCCAAAAGAAAGAATTTATACCAAGCAAGGCCCAGCTTTCATCAAGACCAATGGTTAAGGCTAGTCCCAAAGTTCTACCTTTCTCAAAACAAAGAAACCATGCACCAGGAAACAACTTGATTTTCCACATGAGGAACTAGCATCCTCACTTGGGGGCCCTTGTCATGAGGGAAGTTCTTTCTCATTCCCTCCTGTTAAATTAAAATCAATAATTGATCTATAGAGGAGATAATCATAGACCTATTAAGGACTACTTAGCTCAATGTATTTCAAAACATAATCCTAATGAATTTGCTGTTGGAAACATATACTGACAAAATTAAAGCTGATCTCATCATTTGATCTATGGTCAAAATTGGAGAGGGTAAACAAGATGTGATTGAGGCATCAGGAAGTATCTTGTTAGATGGAATTCCAATACAATAAAACTCCAGGAAAGAAAATGGGACATGTTTAAAACTTAAGAAATAATAGCTAGACTTCACACTCTTTACCTTTATTGTAATTTGTGGATCTGGAAACATGAATCCTTCCACTAAATCAACTTATACTGTTTTCTTAGTAAAAGGAATCTTCTTACTAATGCAACAAGTGCATGAGACTATAAAAGATTCCTAATTTGTCACATGTACAATATTTTTAATGGAAATTTACCTCATGAAGTTTACCACAGGCTTGTAAGTAGTGGTGTGACCCCATGAACGTTACCCTTACGAGTCGTGATGGGACTCGATTTGCTCTTAAGAGTTTCAAATCTCTTAGAACAAATTTCAATTTGAAGACTTCAAGTATGACATGTATTTAGGAGGGAAATAGACCAACTAATTAATTAGACAATTTTGCCAGAAGGTCAACTTGTAATAATGAGGGCGAACTTGCCTTCCAATTTAAACCCAATAATAAGCTCTGATTCACATTGTATTAGAACCTTAAATCAGTATATTTCTTCTTTTCTGGGAAAAAATTTCACCTCACTATGAAGTATAAAAACTTACGTCATTTCGGATGACAATGGTCGGCCTCGAATCTTTTGTAGCTTTCTCCACACCTTCTTTACATTTAATAGAAAGATGACCCACACCCATATCTTTCCAAGCTTTGTCTGAAGGATCATCGGGCTAGATTTTGCAAAACGAGGAAAAAAGAGTTAGAAATAGGATTTACCAACAACAGATGACAGCATGCAAGTTCTGACTACCTTATTAAAATATATATATAAAGTGACATCAGATAAAAATAATGCAGTTTCCAACTAACTTATCAAACAGGAAAACAGTGAGTGACATCACATGAAAATAAATATCAAATTGCTTTTCCAATATCAGCAATGAAATGCTAGAACTTTAATAATGCACTTATAAGTGGTGCAGTTCTCTGTGGAACTACATCGATTTTTATTACATGGTCTCTGGGTTAAGCCACACCTTCTAAATGTATATTTCAATTACAAGTGATATAGCTCCACTTGGCATTATTGTGACAATTTCATTACATGGATTCACTACATTAGTGGTAAATTTTTAGTTATGCCTTTTGGACTTAGCTATAAGTCATACTTCCATTACTTTCACATCCAGTTTGTCTAAGATAACAAATAACTACATCACAAGCTTTCCTCGAAAGAAAAAAAAAAAGGGACGTGAGTGCACAAATAGATACACCAAACAAAAAAGAAGAGATGTGAAGCAATGCCTAGGTCAATTGATTGAAATTGGATCAACAATTTTTTTTTTCTTCATTGCTTCTTAAAGTCGTGCAATTATGTAAACATCTTTCTTGTTACCCAAAAGCCTCTGATCACCATTACACTGGAAATATGTCGGCATATAAGAAAAACTTATTCTTATCAATCAGAATATTTGTGTATTGTAAAATACTTTTTGATTCACTGTACAATGTCAGGAGTCAGAAGAACTAGACAAGCTGCAATTTTTTCCTCATTTTTAATGCATGCATGAGGTGTGAGGCCCAACAAACACTACTAGTAGCACATTGATTTTCATAAACAGTTAGGACAGCCATTAGACTGAAAAACTATACTAACACAAGAATCAAACATGTTAATATTATCTCAATCCATGTTATCTATAAATGCATATATTGCATGGTTAGAAAATTTTACTAAACTGTATACATTAGTATATCTATAAATACTAAAATTGTATGTGTACATAGAGTGGTTATAGTGAATAAAGCCCAGGCATTTTAAGGATTGTTAAATACTCAGGCACCAGCACAGGCACCCAGGCGATCTCTTTTAGTAACAGCATTTGCAGCTAAGCAACACAAATATCACCACAATGAAAAAATAATCAATTTCTAAAAGAAAGTAAAACCTGAACTGTTGATCATACTTGAGTAATGATACCTGGTAATTCCTATATATGGAACAAAATATCATACAATGTGTGAATCCAAATAACTGACTGCTCTAGTAAGGGACATAATGTGCCCCATGCCAATAAGTTCATACACCAAGGCTTAGTTCAGGACAAATTTGATGCATGACTGTGTATGCTGTGAATTGACATGATGCAGCATTAGATACAACTAGCATGACAAAAACCACATCAGAAGCATTTTAATTTTGCTGGACCTTTAGGTCAGCTAAAAACTAAGGGAACAGTGTACCCTTCCAAGAGAACTTTTAGCAGTTCAGTTAAGATTGAAACCGGACTGTTAATAGAATTGGCTACCTAACCTTCTCTGTGGATGACAAGGAGAATAAGTTTTAACATGCATGAGAGCTACTAAACTTTTAGTGACTGACTTTCCTTTCCCAACCTACACCTAAACTTTGTCACTTTGCAAGAACAAAACGGAAACTAAAATTACCATCATAAAAAGATGTTTTAATTTTTTTTTCAAATGGGAAGTGGTGAGGATGAGATTCAAACCTTTGACCTTTCTATCAAACAGTAAAGTCTTAACCAGCTGGCATCCTTGAATTTTAAATTAACTAAAATGAGGAGGAAAGAAGCAACACTTAAAAATGCTCAATATTAGAGGATTATCAGATTATCTTATCTTATGATACAAAATCCATTATCTGCTTGATTTCTAAATGGAACAGAAAGAAACAATGCAGGAATAATAAGTACATATATACATACCCATAAGAAACTCAAGTGTAAAATAACCAATGATTAAAAAAGTGCAACCTTGTCAAATACCTTATGGTCTTCTGTCCATGAAAGGTTCAGAGACATACTTGAAACAAAACCAATAGATCTTGAATGAAGATCTTGAATGAACAGCAGATTTGTACATCTCATTCATCAATGAAAAATAAATTGTCTATCATCTAATAGAGTTGGTTGCTCCCATTAATTAACTTATTTTATTTTCTTCTTTTCTAGGTTCAAGAACAGAAAAGCAATAAGAGACTATATTACTATATTCATCCCTATATCTCCTTAGCAATTAGAAATATAAGTTTTAAAATGTGATCCATTTTCCAAAGAAAATAATGGAATTGGCAGGCCATAGCAATCCAACAATGCCAATCTGCTCTACTGTCTCTCTAATATCATGCACATGAGATTATATATCAGATTACACTATGAAAAATTTTGAACTACAAAATATTGATCAGTTGCAAAGCACGAGTCTCAATTTGCAATTTTGCAGCAGTAAAATCAAAGTCACCAGTGTCTAAAAAATGAAATGGCAGAATTGCAGCACTCCGGCAAGCATAGCAATACAAGATTATAAGTACACAAAAAAACGCTGCTTTATAGATAGGTACCTTCACATACACCTTGCATTTGGCTTCATGAACAACAATAATTCCCTTCTCTTCAGCTTTCTCCAGAGAAGGACTACTTGGCTTCTTTTGATCACCTTCTGTTATTCACAAAAGAAAACAAAGAAAAGATATAAACAACCCCACAAACCACAATATTTCCAAACAATGTTCTATAAATTAACATACTCAGAGATTTATACATTTTAAACCTAAAGCCTCAGTAATTACATACAAATATTAGCCCGTTGATCCATGCACTTGGCATGCATTGCATTAGCAAGTGCCAATCTGATTCGTTTGGTTGTCTACATTTGTCTACATTTGTCTAAGTCGCATATAAAGATAACAGCCTAACATGTTGGAAATGGCACATCCAGCATGCGGCGTAACTGTCTTTTCAACATAACCCCAAATGCAGCACAACTATAGGAGACTTGTAAATGCTACATCTGTAGGAGAAGAAACCGAACTACTGCATTTAGTATTAATATGCAACATAAATAGATACACCCATAATATTTAGCAGAAACAGCTAACTATGCAGGGAACCAAATGCCGTATCGTTCAAGTAAATGGAGCTTTGCATTGTCAAGTTTCTTTGATCAAAAATTAATATTTCCTAACTGTTCTTCCCCTGACAAGTAACAACCGAGCTTATACTTTCATGAAGACATCAGCTACAACAAATTTTTACTACCATATGTTACTTTAAGCAAGATCATATGCAAAGTCATATATGATCTAATGTTATGTTGCCCTTGATTTTCAACAAGTTACTATTTCCATTCTTATAAGTTACTATTTCATTCATGCAGGAATGGTTGTAAGAAGAAGAGACTCTGATACTAATAGATATTTCATTCGCACTCAATTACATTTTTACTTCATACAATTTCTTATAATATTATTACTCACAGCAAATTGTTGATAATCTTGTGTACCTTTTTCAAAGAAGTTGTTGTCAAAATGTAAATATTTCTACCCAAAAAAAGATTTAATATATCCAACGGCTACTCCCCCTACTGTCTCATGTCTATTACAGTAGCATAGTGGCAGCATGGATACAAGGTTCACTATTGGCCTCTCTCCTCTTCTTTATCTTCTTCCTCTCAATGTGTCTACCAGTTAATCATGTTGGGACCTTTACCTATTCCAAATGCAGTGATGTCAACATGCAATACATGGAAATGCAACAATCAGCGCCTAAACTCCAAATATAGGTTGAAGGACTCAATAAGCAGTTCAATATGCAAATCATAGCACAATATTAACCAGCCCAGAGCAATTAGCAAAGTCATTGACACACCTAGGCATGCAATTCAGTGATGCTGGATAGCACAAGATGTGCATTGTGCCATCTGAACATGGCATGGAATATCATATGCCTTTCGAGCTATTATGATTAATGACCATCGCATACTCTGTGTGTAACAAATACCAAAGATCAAGATCGATGTAACTATTGTTTTAAGGCCTTAACATCTTCACTATATAGGCCAACTCCAACTCAAAACCATCGCCAGATTGCCACTGCATAGGGCTGACACATATGCTAACACACTGTACTTGCTAAAATTTGGCCAGTGCCGACTAGCATGACCCCATATCACAAGAATGCAAGCTCCATGGAAGAACATTTAGGGCCACATTATGCTAGTTATCTTTGGTTAAGCTAGTCTAGCTTAATTTCCTTGAATCATGTAATCCAGCAGTCAGTTGAGATCGGGACATTGGAATCCCATTGAAAATCATTGAAAGCCCCCTTTTGTCACCATGTACATGATGGGCTTTTTGTAACACTTCGAATATAAAACTAGTAATTGCTATGATACAACATTTTACTTAGAACAGAAATTAGAACTGAGTTATACCGTCCATATTGAATTTTAAAAAAAAAAGATGGTACAACCGAAAAATTGACGCCAACCACATCCCACAACATACCATACCAGCGCGAATCTAACATGCGGGGCAAGTACACTGTCTACCTTCACCCACACATGACAAGATGCATGCAGTATGCAGTGCTGGTATTAGTGTTTAACTGATAAGTGCAAGGACATGACATTTAGTCCTGGATAATAACACCTACCCAAACTACTGATTAGCAATAAACTCAAATATCTGATATCTCTGACATGTAAAACCCATGAAACAAACTTCACATTTACTACTAAGTATAACAATTAGATTGTAGTCCTTTGTCTAACCTTCATCATCCACATCACCAGAAACTTCGACTTTCGTAGCATCACCCTGCATTCCTGATAAAAAAAAAAAAAACAAGGACAACAGTTATGCAACTCAAGAAAAAAAATGCAAAGGATCTACAATAATTGCAACAACCATGAGAAAAACTATCTTGCTGGTGTATATAAATAAATGCATTATCCTTTTCATGGTCCTGATGCAGATGGCATGAGGTGCCTAATTTGCTTTTAGACCAAATTTTTGAATTTGATAACACATCTACCTTCAAATAAAATTGTTAAGTAGACAAAGGGGCACTTTTGTAGCATGTCATATTTCATCTCCCTATATAACAGAGACTACAATTTACCTGAAAAGGCTGGTTTTTGACTGAAGGAGAATAGACCACTGCTCTGCGAACCCGAATCATGAAAGCTTGGAAAACTAGCGGGTGTCATTTGTTTTACAACCCCGTTGGTGACATCTGTTGCTTTATTGCTCTCTGAGACAGTGAACAAGCTCTTCTGACTACTAGACGAACCTGCAATGCATTCATTAAAATTGTGTATTTTACTAATAATTACAAACAGTCATGCTAACTTCATTGTAACAGAAAACCTCAATTACAATAAAAACCAAGAACCAACCAGCAAAATCTGGTTTTTGAGAGAATGAAAATAGACCAGAACTCTGTGGACTGGACTTCTGCAAACTCGGCATGCTAGCTGTTGTCTGCTGCTTTGCAAACCCATTGCTTATATTAGAGTGCATCAACTTTTTATTATTCTCAAATACATCCACCGTGTTATTATCGTCAGTTGTTGATCCTGCAATTGACACACTTTTTTGCTTTGCTGATTTTGCCTTAAGCCAATCAACAACATCCTTGAAATTCTCCTAAACAAGAGCACAGAAATTAAAAACCTTTAACCTGAGAGCAGTTTCAATGACATCTGTCATCAAAATCAGAATGAAATGAAATGAAAGGAACTAGAAAAGCACAAAAAGATCAGTTGTTTATGAAAAGGATTGCCTAAAAAACATATCAAGATTGACATTTGAAACAGTGCCATGAGTGAATACAAGTATACAACCCCCATAATAAATACATCAGTCTACCACATCAAAGGTAGCCCAACAACTTACCCTAGATCATGTCAATCTCAAAACTATAATTTAAGTGAAACAGAAGACATTATATGAATGTTTTATAAAGATATAAAATTTATACCTAATCTCAGGATAGGTAAATCCTTGCATGCCACCACGTCTACAAAATTTCAGTTGCTTGCAGTTGTGAATCTCTCCATAAGGCAAAAGATGGTCTTATGGGTGGGCATGATAAACTCCTAAGGACTATATATCTTAAAAAATAATCTAATATTGAGAAAGATGCTCCAACTAATACTAATTGCCCAATCTAAGAAGCCTGAAGTTCCAAGTTGAAAAACAAAACCAGCAACACGTATAACAGGGGGCTGAGATAGTCATAGTCCCCTTTACATACAGAAGAAGCTGTTTGTGCATCACTGCCTCATATGGTAGATAATGACACATATGTAGTCATTCAATTGTGTTGCATGGACAAATCCAATATGAGCCTGTACTTATATTTATGATATAGCAAGTAAAAATGAAGACACAAGCAGACCTAAAATGATTATAATAAAAAAACAAATATAATAGACTGTAATACAGTGAAAATTGTGAAATACTGGAAGGTAAATTAAGAAGCCTTCAAATTAATAAAAAACCAACTCTTACATTTTAATATTGTATATAATAGAATAGAAAGATTGAAGAGTCTGACTTATGGAAGTATGGATATATATCCTACACAACATGTGGCTATCGACAAGAGTGTTTAAGTATAACACTCGATTCAACTAGCAAAACAACTTAGTGGATGACAGGTTTGATCGAGCACATCTAAACCCTGGGTCAAAGCATGGATCAAGAAAATGTCAACGTGACTGAACTCATGTTGAGCTCAGTTTAAAGATCAGACAACCTGAACAATTCAACACAAGTTAGCCTAATAGATGTGTACATATAGAGATAACATATATGCATATGTATACTGTGTAAGTTGCCCTTAATACGAACATGGTCCCATTTCAGAGCATAAACCCCCTTTGTGCTGGATTGTTATCAGTGGTTCACAATTAGTGTTGTGGTTCTGGAGTTGTCTTGCATGATATTTTGTGGAATCTAATGTAAATCATGTTATTCTGTTGATCCAATACAAGGCCAAGCTTGTCCCAATGGAAAATCAGATGTTTGAGTTTCAGTTAGGCTCAAACAAGAAGGCGTAAATCGGGGAATGGTTGGTTTGGGTTTAGGCACAAGGTCAGGGTAGTCTTTTTGGACTGGAAATATGCATAGCCTGAGTTGCACAACTAAATTCAACACCATTTAGTAAAAAGCATAGCATAGGTTGGATGGCCAATTTAAATTTAACTTAATTTAGAGTTCAAATACAATGTCCACCATGGAAAAAAAAAAGGCGTGTTTATTGGTTTCTACACTACTCATCCCAAAGAAGTTGAAAGGGAATCCTGGAACCCTGGAGCCCATTTATCATAATCAATGCAAATTTCCCTTTTTTCTTATGATAACATGGATATGGGAAACCAGATTGAGAAATCGAAATATCCCCATCTCATTACCTTTTAAACTGTAAAATAGGCTACCTACCTTAGCTGGGCTCAAATTAAAGTGGTTAATATAAGGGGAACATAGTAAAAACAGGAACTTGCATTAAGTGAATGTGTATTTTAAACACTGAAAGGCCAACCCCACCTATCATAGCATGAGAATCACAGAGCTATATCTCTCACAATAATTGTGCCAGTATCGACATTTATAGTAGGCCTCCATTGTACTGGTTTGACTACAATACAACAGTGGACCAGCCTAGACAGACTTGGATACCAAATCCTAAAAGATGAATCATAAAAGTGCAAGGTTTTAAAGAACAGCCTTCTTGGCCGTAAAATCTGATCAGAGAACAGGAGGAAGTATACACTGGATGCCTGTAGCAAAAGAAACTGAGGATGGTAACAAATTCTAACAGACTATAAACAACTGTACTGGAAATCTTAGTATAATATGCCTATCGACTTTCAGCATATTTAAAATTGTAGATAGACATATTACAAGACAGAATTATTATATTAGCACAAAAATTAAGTTTCAAAAATGATTAATTGACTGGATATATCCAAGTAAGAAATATCTGAATAAATTTATTGTGAACTGAAATCGCAAGTGGTGTATTGAAAACTTACCATTATGTGAGAAGCATGGGATAGATAGTCACTCACACCATCTTCCCAAAGCTCATCAGGATGACTTTGTAACTGTAATTGTACCCAGCTGTTCAAAATTAACAAACAAATCCAATTAAGCTCAGAGAAAAATGTATAAGATATACAAAGTACCTTGACCAGCAATCAATGGAAAAAGATGAGCAATCAAAAGGCCTAGTAAACATCTCAATAAATAAAGAACAAAAGGGAGAACCAGATATCAGAAACACTTTTCCTTGAACTTTAACTCTATCCTGATCTGATAAACCTGGAAAAATGGCTAAATCTTTCACAGGTATACAAAAGAAAAATGCCCAAGAGAAGTATTTTATACATCCAGTTAAGAAAAAGATGAACAAAAACAATCCATGTGAAGCTGTAAATAGACAAACCAAATATATAGATCAACCAGGAAGAGGAGGTTAAAGTAGAAAGAAGTAACACCTTGCAAACTGAGAATTAAGAGCCCTCACATGCCGATGCGCTGATTCTGCACGTTGTGGATCTAGTGTGGGTCCTGCCATCAGATGCTGATGGGAAGACTCCACCCTGTGAACACCAAAAGACGGTGCGTCCATTACTCTTTTACTTTGTAGCTGCATTATTTTGAGGATAGAAAAGGGAACCATTTCACAAGCACACCCAATGCAATTTAGAAAAAAGAAATACTATATGCTTCACATTCTTCACAAGTGATTCTCTCGTGGCACAGACCAACAAAACAGCTAGTCAGCAGAAATTTGTCCCTTGGCAGAAATTCAACATAATATTTGCTATCATAATAGGATACTATGACAACCTGCAGCATTATATAAAAAATTAAGCAGATCATGTACATCATTCATAAGGTGTATGAAGTTTCGAAAAGGTCAAGTTAGCGATGCAGAATATCTTATCCAAAGAAAAACTAATGGAACTGACACATGCATTTTTGCTTTTTAGATGCATTACAATTTCCCTAAGCTTTCTTGTGACTGGCAAAGAATGTCAAGAAATAAGACAGGGATAGCCTCAGTCCATGTCACAAAGAACTAATTGGTTTTAAATCTAAAAAAAATACAGATTTAGTAAACTATAATGAGTTTTCATTAAAAAAAATTGCTCCTGTAACAGAAATTTTAGCCCAACAACCAAAGCATAAGAATCTCATGGTTTCTGCAGTTTACAAGATCAGGAAAACGATATAAAACAAACAGTCTATAGAAAAACGCATAAATGTGATGGTTTTAATCCCCAGAATGTCAAACTAAATCAAACAGAAATATCTCATGGATAAGGACTGGAAACCCTAACCAATAAAACAATTGAACTGCAACGGAGCATTTAACGCTCGACTCTGTTAACCATTGGCGAGAACAGCATCCATATTTATTCTTAGCGTTCCGCAGACTAAACAATCATAAAATAATATAAAAACCAATCAAGATTAGAAAAGAGGCGCAAATATGACACTTCTGATCTTCAAAATCCCAAACTACATCAGCCGGGATTATGCTCTCACAACGGCTCCAATTCCGCGGATTGGGACCGGAAACCCTAACCGAGAAACCTAATAGAACTGCACGGAATATTAAAACTCGGTAACAACGGCGTCAACAAAACAGGATCACAAGGGGTAACTAGAGCTCGGGAGTTGCGAGAATAAACAGGAGAGAGATTTACGCCAGCATCGGCAGACGCATCAGAGGTCAGGGCAGCGCGTTTGGCTCCTCTCTTCATCATCGATGCAAGCAAGGGTGTCGAGCAAGCGAGCGATCTAGGGTTTGAATCAAGCGGGCTCTCAAGAAAAAGTGGAAGAAGCGGCCCCTGAGAGACTCCTGGGCGTGTGACATGCCAAGCGAGGAGGGATCGAATGAGGACGCGATGTCTTTTCAAAGGTTGATTTCCTTTTCCGGCGGAAAAGAATGCTTCACCGGTTCGGTCGTACTCAAAATTCCACCGACCTTTTCACTAGGGGAAGCAACGGAGCCCACGCGGGGCCCTGCTGCAGATCTCACGTTATGCCCGCTCACAATGGGAAGGGGGTACGACAAGCAGGTAGGTGGAGTCTTGGTCTTCAGGAACACCACAAGTTTCACGCCCGCGACATGGAGCGGTGGATGTTGTCGGTCGTTTTCATGATGGAGGTCCGAATCCGATAGGATTAGGGCATCTTATTGGTGACGAGGGGAACCCGGTTCGGCGTCTGGATCAGACCCATGATGTAATATCCGATCTGGTGGGCTTATTGGATTCAAATAAATGGGATCCGTATCAAGTTTTCCGGATTGGATTGGATAAGAAGGACAGTACTGATCGACAATGACCTTTAATTATACGACAAAAAATCACTATGATTTGAAGCATTTAACAATGTGAATTATGATGCATCTAAATATGTTGTTTATAATATAATTATGAATTTCTATTGAGCTTAAATTGCAACTCAGTTGAGTCTAATTTTTAATAAAAAGGTAAATATAAAAAGGTCGATTCGATCAAATATTAGGAAGGGACCGGAGCCAGGGAACAAGACGACTCACCTCACACCGGCGATGGGACCCAACGAGGTGGCCCACATCTACCCGAGGCACGCATGCCGAACCGGGCTTTGGACACCGGCCGAACGTGGCATCGCGGCCCGCTGGCCAATCCACAGAATCCATCCGTGGGTCCCGCCTGGGCGAACCGGCGCCGAAGACCCGGAGTGGTTCACCACGTAATTTGTCCCCAATTCATGGGCTGAATTCCTAAAACGTCGCCGTCGTCTTTAAAATACTCCGCTGGTCTGTCGCGAGATGTACCGAGTGTTTACCCGATAATGCGCCACTCGTGTGGGCCCGTAGTAGTCCTAATCATTAAGCAGGTAGGACGAGGGGTGTATAGAGAAGCGTAAGACAAGCATCGTCCAAAGATTATTAATACTAAGGTCAGAAATAAAAATACTCCCCACGCGTTCGCTCGTGGTCTTCCAACGGGTTAAAAAAAATCCTCTATTACCACGCGTGGATCGGTCACCCACTTCCCTACCCTATTCCGAAAACACGTAAATTGTGGGACCCAACTTGGGATGCACGCGTCGTGGTTTGGGTTTACGAAACTAGTAACGATAGGCATCGTCCGTCAACTTGCAGCGACGAACAATAAAGGGCGAAACAAGAGGCCGGGAGGAGGAGAGCAATCCCAGGCCTCTTCGTTGCTCCCAAATCTTTCCTTTTTGCCCCTTTCTCACCCGAACAGCGCGTTCGAGAGGGGATCTAATGATTCGATAAGAGTTCTCCTTCGCCAAATTATGATTCTTGATTCGTCCGTCGCGTAGCAATCGGTCACATCTGTTTTTAGCGTTCCGAGTTCATTAATGGATCGCTGTTGGCTTTTGGTGATCTTCTTATTTGGGTGTATCTTTGGAGCTACTGATGCCAGCGAGGGCGACGCCGATCCGCTCTATAGGTATGTTTGTTTCTATATGGAAAACGGTCCGACGAGCATATAATTTGCCTGTCGCATTTGTGAGGTTACCGTCTGATTTGTTCCACCTTTTGGGAAATTGGAAACGAAAGGTTCTTTTTTTGGATCAAATAGTTGGATGTTATGGCTTTTGTCATTGTTTTAAAAGACATTTAGCTTCGGTTCTGCTGGGTTCTCTTGGTATCTGTTAATAGTTAGCTTCTTTCACCATAGAATATGACCATAATAGAGGTAAAGTGGTTAACGTTGCTTGATGAGTCTCCAATCAACTGTAGGTCAGTCTTTGGTTGGATCTTGGATCTCCTGGAAAGATGAATGACTTCAGAAACAAATTCAACCTAAATTTAGGAGATGTCAGGTTCTGTGAAGTATTGCTATTCCTGCTAAGTTTTGGCAGTATCAAAGATAATTTCAAGAGGATCATCTCTCTGAAAGTGGTCCTACAGGAGAATAACTTCAGTACTCCATTTACAACTTTCTAGCTTCTTTTTCTGGGTTTCTTATGGTGTAGAAAAATTTGGCCAAGCAACATTTGGTTCATTGGTGGCAGCATAGGGTTCAAAGTTAATGCCTTCTTGTCTTTCATGACAAGAAATTGTTATCATGCATGATATAGCTCTGTGTTGGTTGGCTTCATGTTACTCCAAGATTTTGTAGAAGATTAACAAGAGATATACTTAATTTGCTGAACATGACCTCATACCTTTCTTAATGCACATTTGAGCGAGGTTACTCTGCTGTTGTCATTATTATTTGCAGATACAATACTTGGATTCCATAATCAGGTGACCTAAGTTAGCATTGACAATTATACTGTGCATGCAGACATTCCTCACTCATTTGTCAGTATAAAAAGGATATACAAGGAATAAAAAGTTACATACTGCTTTATGTGCCTTATAGTATTAGCTCGAAAAGAAGATTGCTTAACAAACTACAATTAAAGAAATCTGCAGATTGAGTGGCTAAAATCGGAGTAGGTAAAATGGATAAGATTACTGGCAGATTGAGCGGATCATAAGATTCTATAATGATTAAAGAAGAATAAATTCCCAACAGACAACTTTTTGGTAACAATTGATTTAAGCAAATGTATGATATGTCAACTATGGTGCATCTTTGGAAAATTGGTTGACCTTTGAAAGCCATAGCTAAACAACATAAACCAAGCAGGAATAGCGACATTGGTAAGGCACCAATAAGGTTGAAAGCATATCCTGAAACTGTGTTCCAGCTAATTCTAGGGAAAGCCATTCTGAAATTGTGTTCCAGCTAATTCTACGGAGAGCCACCGCCATGCGTAATTGTTGTTGGGTGTATGAATCACAGTGAAAATGACCCTTTAAAAGTCTCTTGTGCATGTTGTTACTCGTCATCATTTAACAGTTGCTTGGTCGCCGAGAAAGTGAGTAGCTTGTTCCTGGAGGGACAGAATCTTATTTTTTTGTCACGAAACCACCTTGCGGTTGCTGATGGAACCTTTTAATTAGGTTTTTTTATTGTAGCTGTTATTGATTATTGTGCCAGCTTACGCATTTCATGCTGACATGATGCCAGCAATAATACCCTTCTCCCATTGTAAAATTAAGGTTGTCAACAATGCACCAACTGAGATCAGCAGGAAGCTCCATATTAACTTTAAGTTAACGAGGCAACCAATCGATGCTGAATTAAACAGGTCCAAGCCAGGCAGGTCCCCTGTCATCGTAGCCGTTTTTTCCCTTGTACTAGTTTGCTGGTTGCATGCTTTATGCTTTGCAGCTTTCATCAATTCGTAAATGAATCACATAGATATACCAGTAGCAAGGAAATCCTTCAAGGCACATCAATGTCTATAAATTTTATCAAGTCTTTGATCGTTGTATGTCTTCCACATGGTTTCATATATAAAAATATAAAAGCAGCCAAGGTAAATGTAGAAAGAACTTGGACTAGATCGTGTATCTCTGAGATTTTAGTTCTTGGGAAACCTTTTCTAATATCAACTTCTGATTAAGCAAATAAGAATAGTGTGCTAATAAATTAAAATTCTTTTTTTATAACCGTTTGATGTTTTTTTTTTGTAGAGTATGTATTGAACAATGTGAAAAAATGGGGTCTGTTGGAGACATCTCAATCCAGCACTGCCAGTTTTTATCTGATGGTGTGCTTGCTGACAGTCCATGGTATATGCAAGAGCCACTATATGTTCAATGGAAACAGTGGAATTGTAGGAGCGACTGCCAATACTTTTGTATGATGCAACGGGAAAAAGAAAGGGAAGCACTTGGTCTCAGACCTGTTAAGTATTATGGTAAATGGCCCTTTAAGCGATCATCTGTTCTTCAGGTACGTCATTCTGTTAACACTAAATAGAGTACCATATCATTTACTTTGTGGTAATGATTCCTTTGTGTGTGACCCTTTGATAATGCTGTTTTTTTGTCAGGAACCTGTTTCTGCTGTCCTCTCTGCATTAACACTTGTGGTGCAATTTAACGGATGGTTATCTTTTTTCCTCTTATCATATTATAAGTTGCCGCTTAGGCCCCATAGTGGGAGGACATATTATGAATACACTTGCTTGTGGCATATATACGGGCTGTTATCAATGAACGCCTGGTTCTGGGGTGCTATATATCATACTCGGTACGTGTGATTTTTTTTCTTTCTTTGGCCTTTGTCTTGAATCAAACAGAAAAGATCCCCTTTTCATCATTTTGTTGTTGACGGCTCTTGGTTGATATCTTCTACAGATGTTTTGATTTGACGGAGAAGTTGGATCATTCGTCATCTGTGGCTTTAATTGGGTTCGCCCTTATTCTTGCTGTACTACGAACTTTTAATGTGAAGACTGAAGCTTCAAGGGTCATGATTGGAGCTCCTTTGTTGGCCTTTCTGACAACACATATCCTGTATCTCAACTTCTATAAACTGGACCATGGTGAGTGCTCTTCTCTCACTAGATCTTCCTTAATAGTCAGAACACTACACCTGTAGATGCATGGAGAGGAAGAGTCTGTATGTCTTATTAATGGTGGCTATATTTTTAGAGACAGTCGAGTACTTCGATGTAATACAGCCAGTATAAAAGTGTTTCCTGAAACACTTGGTTTTTGATAGATCTTCTGTTTCAAATTGGGAGGCAAACTCTTTCTTCTCTTCCCTTTTCTTATTTGGTAGCTATAGATGACTTCTTGAGAGCTCTTCCTAAGCCGAGATCACACTTTTTTAAAAGGGACATGAGCTTTAAATAGTAGCATAATCATAAACTGAGATCTCAGATGCAGCAGAGACTTCTAGCTTTGGATAGACGTCTGGTAGATGGCTTATTGATAATAAATTTATTGAGTGGGAATAAGATGTCTATAAACAGTAGTGTGAAATTGGTACTTCTATTCTGCAGAGCTTAACATGAAAGTTTGTGTCGCCATGGGCATCGGTCAAGTGCTCCTCTGGTCTGTCTGGGCTGGGGTGACTCGGCACCCTTCGCGCTTCAAGATATGGGCGGTCGTCATTGGTGGTGCCATGGCCATATTTCTGGAGTTATACGACTTTCCACCTTACAAAGGTTATGTCGATTCCCATGCATTGTGGCATGCCACCAACATACCTCTTGCATATCTCTGGTGGAGCTTCGTCTATGAAGATGTCGAGTTTCGAACATCAGCCATCATGAAGAAAGCTAGGTAAAGGAGCAGTACAAACAAAAAACCCAGTTCTCTTTCTTGACTTATTGAGCTGTAAATCTACTTTAATTTTTTTCTCTTTATCTATCTGTTAATAGTTGAAGAATGTCACCCTCCACCCTCTCCTCGTTTTTCAGTTTGCATTCTTACTCTTTTCTGAGTTGATATCTGAGGAATTCCTTACAGAAACTCATGTGACATTGCACTGTATTTGCTGAAAAGCATTCTTCCTCTTCTCGAGTTGATATTTGAGGAATTCCTTTTTGAAACTCGTGGCATTGTACTTGTATTTGCCTTTTTCCGAAGGCAACATAGTCGGTTTTGTGCCACCAGTTTTGTGGTGTTTGTGATGCACCTTTTGGAGCTTTGCCAGCAGCAGCAGCATCCGACCATGTCGAAGCAGCCATGCACTGCTGAACTACTTGGTTTTGCTGCATCGTTAATGCATCAACGGAGTGGGTCATTTCAATTCTCGTGCTTTGAGGTCATTTTTGCACTATATTTCTAGCCAAGTAGCAGCCAAAACATGAGTTTGTATACAGGTCCAATCCATCGTCCACGTATTATATGTCCGACATATGGTATATTCCGTATATGTTGTTCTCAACGGGAATTAGATGGAGAGGGCAATATATATATATATATATATATATATATATATATATATATATATATATATCGAACCGAATCTAATCATTTGGTTTTTGGATTCATCACAAGAGATGAAGACACGGATTGAACCGAATCGAACCATTTGGTTTTGGGATTCGTCACACGAGATGAAGATGCGGACATTGCGATTCTTCAATGTGAAGCCCCGACGGCTACGCAGAGGCTTATCCACGCTTGGAAAAAAAGATTCACTGCTTTGATGCTTGAGATTGATTCAAAGATTATCTAAGACTGCATCGAGTGAGGACAATTATACTCCATCATATAAGTTTAGATTTTGTGGCATAATAACTTGAAACAAACATTCTTGCAAGCTAAACACGAAAGTGAAAATGTCAATCATACACACGAGACTACACGCTATCTGAAGCGGTAAAGCTACAGACCCAACTATTGGTTCCAAATAAAGAAGATAGAGAAGAAATATCTCACACATAAAAAACAAAAAACAAAAGTGGCAGCGTACTGTTGTATCGGCTTAACTTACACATGGTACTTAGGAAGAACGCCTCCTTTTGCGCCAAACAAAGCCATGTCAAGCAGTGGTTTCTGATGAGACCGAAGCAAGAGCACCATATGGCAATTAATCTAGAGGGCAATCGCGATGGAGGTAGCAGACCCACAAGCAGATGGTTCGCCATGAATCGTCGTGAGAATAGTCAGGGCATCAATCCGAGATCCTTGAAATAGTCATGATCCAGAGCCTGTCGAGCTGTGATTCTTTTGCTCGGGTCCAAGTGGAGCATTTTCTGAGAGCCAAAAAGGTAATTAGATTCATTAGAGATTGGCCATATTAGCTGTGAAACAAATGCGAATCTCTCCTACAGAAACAAAGCATCTATGCTGATGATTACAGTTGTGACATGATTTAGCAGCTAAAGAATTCTGGTCTCAGAATCTCGAAACTAGATATAACAGCAAACTAACTCCAGAATCAGAGAAAGCAGTTGAACTAGGTAAATCTGATTGCATATGCTTAATGCCACCATTTATTAGAATCAACATAGTGTCACGGACGATCATCGCTCAGCTGCAACACCTTTGTCGACGGACCGTTCGTCGCTTTTGTTTGCTTGTACATATATTTGGCAACGTGTTTTGCATTGTTTTTATGTTTTTACTTGAAAACTATGAGCAGAAATAGTTTGCAGGGCTAGAGACTGACCGCTCACCAGAATGGACAAAACTACCCGAGAATGGTTCGGTTTTCGTGTGTCATGGCCTATTTTCTACAAACTACAATGAGGTATGAAGCATCAACCGTCTCAGCACCCTAGAACCACCCAGGTGGCACAAGGTTAGATGGGGTTTTAGGATTAGTCTTGAGCGTTGATTAGATTCACAAGTTCGCACATAAAGCTTATGGGGGCTTGCCAATGCGCCCGACACCCAATGAGCAGTTGTTTGTAGACTTGCGACTGCTCGTTTGCCTTCCAAATTCCTTGTTTTCTCCTTCCTCTCTTTTCTCTATTACACACCAAGTGTTTGCTGAATTGCTCGTAAAGCTGCCCTCTTTATGAGACATCGGGACTTGTCCGTCGCTCGTTTTCTAAACTAATCAAATTGCTCTTTTAGAGGTCCTTCAGGACTTGAGCGAGGTTGCAACTAGGCTGACCCTTTACGGATGGATAACGCAAAGGTTCCTCATAACTTAGGCAATTCTAGCTAAGTCTGACATTTTGGTATTAGAGCAAGCAAACAATTCGAGCAAATTGCGAAAGTTCGCGATCTCACCATGGCGAAGCACCATGAGGAATCAAGCAAGATGAGACAAGTCAGAAGATTGCCCCAAGCAGTCGCAGGTGGGCTACAAGTGCAAACTCGCTCTCAAACTGTTGGAGTCGCTCAAGAGGAGCATGACAACAAAAATGACGAGCGAGAAGTTGACTATTCTCCATGTGCGGAGGAACCACGACCCAAAGCGCCAACCGAAAAGAAAAGCCACGATGAGAGGCTTATAACTGCAGAAACCCGCCTTGATGTTCTTGAAGCGAATCTAGAGAAACTCTACCAAGGCCAACGAAGACTTCTTGGAGTAGAGAACTCACAGGGGAGGTAGAATCTCTCGTGTCCAAGATTACGTTGCTCACGAGGGCTCACCCTCATTGCTCCGTCATAACCAACGCTCCGACTACATTTTACACTCTCATGAATCAATTGTTCAAGGAGTCTCCGAACAAGTTTGTGATCATCTACTTGGATGATATCGTTGTTTACATCCAAATGCTCGAGGAGCATGTCAAACAACTTCAAACAATTTTCAAGATTCACAGAGAGAATACTTTGTTCGTGAAAAGAGAGAAGTGCTACTTTACCCAAACGAAGATTTTACTCTTAGGCCATCGAGTCGACGGAGGATCCATTCGGATGGTCAAATCGAAGGTGCAGGCTGTAGCGAAGTGGCAAACACCAAAGAAGGTACTGAAGCTAAGATCCTTGATTTCGTCAACTATTATCAACGCTTCATAGCTGGGTACTCAAAATGCACAGCTCCACTAATGGAGTTGTTGAAAGAGCAGCCTTGGTGATGGTCAAACAAATGTGAAGTAACATTCCAAGACGTAAAGGTTGCTGTGTTAGAAGAACCAATACTCGAATTTTCAGACTATTGGGAGCCTTTTAAAAGTCCACACATATGCTTCGAACTTCACTATTGGAGTACTTTAATAGTACTTATGCAAGAGGGTCACTTGGTGGCCTACGAGAGCTGCAAGCTCAACAAGAACAAGTGACGGTATCTGGTGCACAAGAAAGAGATGACAGCGATGGTCCACTGTCTACGAGTATAATGACACTACATTCTTGAAACGTGATTTGTGCTAAGAAATGTCATGGTCGATGCATTGAATTTGATACTATCTACGTGATTTATGCAAGTTACTTTTAAACTCAAAAGATTTTCCCAAAGCAAACACGATGACAAGACTTCCTGATTGAATTTGATATGGCAATGGAGTATAAGCCTAAAAGAGCAAATGTCATGGTCGATGCATTGAATAGGAAAGTGGAGATGGTGAATGTTGTGCAATTGGAAGGCAGAAGCCAAGAAAGTCAATTACAATCCAACTTCCTTTCAGGACCAGGGATGGACTGTACAATGATCCCCAAGCAGTAACCATGATGCAACTGATTAAAGAAGGCAAGGCACAATAATTTTGAGTCCAAGAGGGACTCATCTACACTAAAGAGAATAGAATTTATGTTCCCCGAGCGAACAATTTGAGGCGTGAACTCTTAAAAGAGTGTCATGGTTCCCTTCGGGAAAGACATCCGAGTATTCACCGAACATTAGCTCTCGTGGAAAGGGCCTTTGATTGGCCGAAGATGGGGACTAATATAGAAGAATATATTTGGACGTTCCTTACTTGCCAACAAGATAAGGTAAAGCAAAGGAAGCCAATGGGACTTTTGGAGTCATTGTCCATACTAGAAAAGTCGTGGGAGAGCATTTTTTTGGACTTTATATCAAGCTTACCAGTGGTAAGGGGACTTGGATCGATACTCATGGTGGTCAATCGATTTTCAAAGCATACAACATTCATTACTACACCTTTACATTGCTCAACAGAGGAGGTGGCCAAGTTGATAAAAAAGAATGTAGTGAAGTATTTATTAGGGTGTTTTGCACAATGTCATCAGCGAACGAGACGCACGATTCTTGAGATAATTTTGGACCGAGCTATTCAAATTGCTGGGATCCAAGCTATACTTCTCCACAAGCCTCCACCCTCAAACGAATGGTCAAACTGAAAA